ATCCTGAATGCTCGATCCAAATTTTGTTGCTGCTCGGTATCGTTCCAATTGTATCGATAGTTCTGTAAAGAAATAAGGTCTAGCAACTGAGAATCCTTAATTGAAGCGCATGCTTGAGCTTAGGGTTAATTCGTAGGCAGCAAATAGATAGTCGTGTGTTGAACTAAATTCCAGGATACGTCCGGTCAAGATGGTTCCAAAAGATCATGATGTAAATACAGCAAGCACTTACCTACATGCTAAAGCTGAAGCCTGAGATAGACGTTTGTGGATTTTGATTGGTGGAGAGTCGAAGAGTCTAGCCAATTGCAACATTACTACCTTAGCGCCAAGTATTATCTATCTCGTTCTTTCGTTAGAAGATGGAGCCTGTTCACTAAAGCTTAAACCTGTAGCAAGTCGCTCTGTGACCATCACCAAAGATTCTTCCGTCATATGGAAAAGTAAAACCTAACTTGTGTACCTGCCGCTTCTAAAGCAGCGCAGCTCCAGCGGGAACTCAAGACGCTAAGATTACTGACTAAGCCAGACCCTGATTCAGCCTCCCTCCCGTCCCAAAACAACAGGAGGTAAAGCCAGATGTTCACCGGAGAATAGCAACCTTTCTCTTCAACCGAAAAATCACAACCTTTCCCTTCTGTTCTCATTGCAAGTTTGATAAACCAGCGAATTCAAAACTCTTACAAAACCTTTACAAGCAGCTTTTCTTCAATAATACAGCCTCGATGGCCTCCGTTAATCCTTTTCGAGACATCAATGTCACTGCCTCAGCCTCGCAGTACACTTTCCGGTCCCCCTCGTCTCCCAATGCCCCCGCTCTGGTCATAGACCGTCCCTCTGGGGATATGCGGTTGGTCGAATCGCCGAAAGCTGAAGGAAAGCGGGTAACAAGCATTGCAGGAATTATGGGCATGATCCGTTTGCGTCTTGGTGGGTAGTTCTCTGCAGCAGTTAGCACCTCCGAGCCTGGGTTGGGTGCTTGAGCTTCAGTAATTAGGGAATGTTTGCTTGAGGGTTTCACTCGAGCTGACTCTTTTACTAGATAAATATATAATCATTATTACAAAAGCCTTACTTGTCGGACGCATCCGCGGTCATTCTGTGTACAAAGTTCAAGCTGTCGAGTTTTTACCATTGCAAGATAGGCATTTACACGTATGTCATGGTTTAAGTTTTTTGAGTACTAGGGGCCAGAACAAACCCTTATAGCTGAGCAGTTATGTTAATGTCAATTCTCATTCTCATAGGATCCCGATGAGGACACCTACCTTTCGCTTTTACGTACGCACTTGCGTACCGGGCCGATGTATCTATCATATTCGTTTGACCTCACGAACTCATTTCAGCGCCAGTCTACGGCAAATACCTCGCTACCACTTTGGCAAAGGGTATGATTGAAAGCTTTTGTCCTAAGTACCCCCACAAAGCTGAGGGTTGAACGCTGATTTTTTTTTCTTTCTTTTTGGCTAGGCGGATGAACGTTTCTTCTGGAACAGACATGTCCAATCGGATCTCATTGACATGAGAAGTTCCAATCCTGCTGTAAGACAACACATTTTATCTATATTTACCCCACATAAATCCTGCATATCCCACGAGCATCGTTCCCAGACATTCGATTGGAAGATGCAAGACTAAACCAAACTTGGAATCACATCCTGGGCTTAACCATGCTAACTTGACTAGGTGGACCCTTATATTCTTCCAGTGTTTTTCGGTTATCTTAACGTTAGCACGGTCACGATTAAGTCGACCAGCTTAACCTTTGTTCTTATCACGCGAAAGTCTCGTCATCGTGCTGGTACACGATACTTCACTCGCGGAGTTGATGAAGCCGGAAATGTGGCAAACTACAATGAAACGGAACAAATTGTAATTCTGGGTGACACTTCGGGTGGGCTTGGGGGTTACGACCAGAGCTCTATGGCTGGCAAACAAGGTTCTCAGAGCGTCCAGGTTCTCAGTTATGTGCAAACAAGGGGAAGTGTTCCAGTTTATTGGGCGGAGGTGAACAACATAAAGTACACTCCTAAAATTCATCTTAAGAGCTTGGAATTGGCCAAAAGCTCCGCGAGGAAACATTTTGATGAGCAGATCCGGCTATACGGCGACAATTATATGGTCAATCTAGTCAATCAGAAAGGACGCGAGGAAAGAGTCAAGGCGGGCTATGAGAACATGGTCAAAATGCTTGTTACTTCACCTACAGAGAGTAGAGAGAGCTCCTCGAAAACGTCAGAAAGGTTCCGGGAGATTGAACCCATGGGAAATGCAAAGCTAGTCGACCGCTTGCATTATATCTATTTCGATTTTCACCACGAATGTGGAGGAATGAAATGGCATAGGGTCCAGTTATTGATCGACAAATTGGGTGACGGATTGCACGAGCAGCATTATTTCCACTCCATCGAGGGCGGTGCAACAAACACTGTGCGAAACTACCAAAAGAGCGTTGTAAGGACGAACTGCATGGATTGTTTGGATAGGACAAATGTCGTGCAAAGCGTATTGGCCAGGTGGACGTTAAATCGTCAGATGATCGATTTGGGAGTGCTTCAGAAAGGGGAAAATACTGCCGATTTTGAAAATTTTGAAGTGATGTTTAGAAATGGTAAGGCTCGATTTTCTTGACGTTGACTTTGTGATTTTGTCGTATGATTATGACGGCTGGTATCTGGTGGTTGGCTGGATTATGGCTGACATTTGATTCTAGCGTGGGCTGACAACGCCGATGTTGTGAGCCGAGCCTACTCCGGAACTGGAGCGCTTAAGACGGATTTTACCAGAACGGGGGTGCGAACAAAAGCCGGGGCACTCGCAGATTTATCAAATTCGATAACCCGGTACATCCGTAATAACTTTGCCGACGGACCCAGACAGGATGCCTATGATCTTTTCTTGGGAGTGTACCTGCCATCGACAAGCAGCAACATCTCCTCCTCTCTCCTTTTTGTCGATCGACGCCCGATTCTGATTCAAAGTATACCGTATATCCTCTATGCTGCAATGTTTCTTGTATTTGCAGCCTTTGTGTTGCCCCGTCCAACTGGAAGCGGTCTGATCAGTATCAGAATCTTTGCGCTTTTCTGGCTTGCTGTAGGATTGTGGGCCGCCAGCTTCATTTGGAATCACGGCATGCTTTATGTCAACTGGCCCAAGTTGAACGTGCCGGGATTTGCAGCGGATGGATACAACGAGGCGCTGGGTAAGGCCAAGAAAGACAAGATCGTGGGAAAGTGGGTAGAGAGGGGTAACTTTAGTAGTGGAGCCGGTGTTGGCCGTGAACGGGGCTCTAGTATTAGCGGGGGAAACATCAGACTTATTCACTTGGAGGAGGGGAAAAAGAGGATCGAATAGTGGGTATTGAGTATCACCTGGGAGTGTGGCTTGGCACGTTACATCCAGTGTGTGTTGCTTTGTGTAACCATTGCACAATGGTGGGGTGGCACAGAGGCCTGTACAAGCCTTCACCCCGTTCGGAGCGACTTGGCCTGATGTTGCAGAACGAGCTGCTGCTGTTGCCTAACCAGGTTTCCGCGCCCTGTTATGTTTTACTTTTTTTAACCCTCCTGTTTTCTTTTTTTCAAACCCTACCCAGATTTCAATAGACAGATTAGTATGGTTACCTACGCGTAGCTTTGGAAATTTCCTTGCGTTTATATATAGAGATTTTTTTATTTGTTCTTTGTTCTTTTTTGTTTTTTGGGGATTTGTATCGTGAGCTGAACAATGTGCTTCTTTTCTTTTCTTTCCACAGCTAACCCACATATTTCGTCCAATATCATTTATATCTATGCAAGCCACCGTCTCATTTGTTGAAATACCACGGCACTAATACATAAATTCATTGTCATATCGTTACTTGCATTCCTTCAATGACATTGGGCACAGCCTGCACAGTAAGAGGGGTCAGATAAAGTTTTCGGGAAGTACAACAGGATCAAAGGATTTTTATGAGGCCTTCATGGGCATTCACCTCGGATGTTTGATTACATGTACTTACATGAACATATCGGTAATAGTATCGTGCCTCACTCACACCTTTTCCTGGTTTTGTGTAGCGGAAACATACCACAGAAAAGAGGCAAAGAACTGCACTTGTGTGCCTTCTTCGACAGTTATGGTGCACGTTTTTGTTTCTCGATGCCTACATACATGCAGGTACATATATGTAAGTATTGGGGGAGCCTTGTCTATCAAATCGAGGAAACAAAAAACTCGGCTGCAGTCCACATGCCTGTTCTTTTAGTAGTAGTACTAGCGTTGCTTGCTGGGGAAAACGCCTAACCAGCGGCTAGCACGAGTGATAATACATGATTTTGTGTCCTACATGAATAATGCGTGGGCACCACATGCATACATGTACATGTACATACATATAGTGCTATCCGCTTCACTTTGTCAAGTAAACCATAGGGAAATCGGTACTCAATCACCGACATCATATCTGATATGTATAAAGATAACACGCTGCATTTGCATTGTACATACCTTAGTCGAGTGAGGCTGTGTGGCGCACGCAACCCTGTCCCCGACACCCCCTGTAAGGAAATACTGGCTCTAAATATGTTTTCCTCTTGATGATCTGTAATACAGTTAAATTAAAAGAAAAAACTTGCTTTATTGACGTAATTAGTTCTTTTCACTATAGATCTGCATTGGGTGTATTGTTATTTTATTGGTCTAAGAACTCAAGGCTGGCCAGAGAGCAGTGATATCTAAGACAAATCATCGAGAAAAAGAAACAAAGTCAATAAACGTAAAAAAGACTGACGATACATAAGGCTAAGGATTCAGAAATTGTGGAAAGGGAAGCAGATAACAACTACGACCGTCATGAAACAATCAAAGAAATCTAAAGTCTTGTGAACGTTCTGAAAATAGGAAAGAAAGAAAAAACATAGTCTCCATACATATAAACCTTTACGTACCATAGGCTCTTGTTGGTATTCTTTCCATCTTGGAGCAAAACCGAGGCCCTTGAGAATGTGTATAAGAATTTAACACTTTTGCTCAAGCAGTGCTAGAATTATTTCCATTCCCTCCTAAAACCACAGAAAAAGGCGTAAGTAAATTTAAGTCTTACGAAGCCGGTCTATCTAGTTTGAAGTTCAAAGGGACTTACCTTAACAATCAACCTATACAGCCACATCCCCTCTCCCTCTGCAATTCTACCTCCATGACTTCTTCGACTACTAGAGTAGAATGGAGGTTGTAGACGTTGTGCCAACGCATTATATGCTGTAATCATTGCCTCTTGTATATCAGAGGGTAAATCCGTAACATAATTATCTCGAACATGCACTTCTTGCAATCCGCACTCATCGTTGATATCTGACCAACGTCCATCAACATCATGCCCATAGCGTGATTGAGCTGACCATAACTCTATGACAACCTTTGTAGCATATGAATGTTGCTCTTCATCCGTGTCGAAAGACATCATAGTCAAAAGATGACCAGCTATCTTTTGTGCCGCTCGAGCCTTCTTTTCCAGATTGTCTAGATACTCCTCAACCTTCACGACCATATATGGATCACAAAGCATATCGTAGAGCCGATCCTGTGGTCGAGTGATATAGCTTCCTTTGGAACAAGCGGGGCTTCCTTCTCGCGGTTTGAAGAACGATGGCGGTGTCCATATCTTCATCAAAAGCCCAATGTGTTTAATATTTGCTAAACGAGTGCGTAAAGTTCGAGTCTTGAAATCTCGAGTAGACAAAGAAAGAGCGTGGCTAGCATGGGAAACAGGGTCTAAATTGTCTAGGTAAGACAGGATATTGAGGAGCAGCTCTGCGGGCATTTCGTCAAGCATGATGATATCTTCAATGTAGGTTTATTGATAGAATTGATATGAAATGAGATCAGATGAATTGAGATGAAATGAATTGGGGCAAAGTAAATTGGGATGAATATGGCTGATAGAATGATATTTCGAGCTCTTTTAGATTTCTGTTCGATGTTGTAGGATTGTAATATGATATCGATCGAAAATGAGGAAATCCAAGCGGGTATTTATGTCTAAAGGATAATGGATAGATTCGAGTCTATCGATTCAGAGTTGCCATATATTAATACCGAAGTACAATGCTCCGCCGGCTCGTCCGATGTCGAGTAAACAAACCACCTCGAGCCCTAAACCAAGCCTACAATGATGCAAATAGTGTAACACAATCAATAACTGGGGCCAGATTTGGGAATCAACGTTGACTCGTCGTGGATGACTGGACCATCCCAGGTTGAGTCTAATATGAAGTAGTAAAGTTGAGTAGCGTGAGACTAGATGATGTCTTGGTAGGGGAAGAGGGTGAGGAAAAAACGGCTGCAGTCCATTGTACATACAGCTACCGGGGGTCTAGGGCTCTTTGCTGGTATCCGCAGATACTTGGTACCACTTAATAGCCATCTATTTGTGTGTATCTATTCTGTCTTGGGCTTCATACCACGCAAAGGTCATATGGAGCTGCATATGGTGTTCGAACACTATTCAAGCGAGCAAACCATGAAGGGTTTGTGCCTTGCGAATGCCATTACTGACGCAGGCACGTGCGGGTATGGAAAAAATCGACCAATGATCTCGGGGCTGTCTAAGTAGAATTGTGACAATAATGGGATTGAGGTGCGTAAAGTCCCCTGTACTATTCGAGGCGGACCAGAGCATAGTACACGGCTGAGCACGGATACAGAGAAGTGGTTTTATTCTCTCGTTCAATGATCAAACTTATACCAGGCTAAACCAAACTTGAGTTTAAATCTACCGAAGCTCTTATTAACGGCCAAGTAACTTGGGACCTACCCGGGGGAAGGGATAAGGAGTAAATAACGGACATTGCATGATATGCAGCAGTAGTACTATATGGGTGGGGAGGTAGGATGTCTGAATGGAGTGGTGGGTATACTCCGAGTACAAGATGTTAGGGCAATGCAAGCAATCCACAAAGGAGATTGGTGGAAGTTAGCGAGGGCTAGAAAGGAATAGGTGGAATAGTCCTAAGAGAATAGTTTTCAAGAGGAAGAAGAGTTTGTGGACAGCCACCATACTGATACTACAGACTCAGCCCCCATTGGGATTATTGTTCGCCTTGGCCATTGGCCTGAACAGGAATAGATGCATGCAAAGGATCTGGTACTGTACAAATGACATGGGGTTAGTAACGCGTGCAAGGGTTTGAGTCAGAAAAATAGTGTATAAAATAGAATAGATGTTTAGATGGTCATTGCGTTGATATTTTTTTTGTGGATGGTCGATAAGAAGGATGACGATACACTTCAACGACTGTCATTTTGAAACCTAGAAAGCTTGACGTTGAGATTGTTACTACCTAGATTCACGTGATGGTAAGTGTGTACCTTGGTTGCTATGGTGGTGACTTTGGACCAGGCCCTACCATCGCGACCTCTAATTTTTTTCACTTGGCTCAACTCAACAACAGCATTAAGTGAATTATCCCATCAGCGACAGCTACTATTCAACACCTCCGACACCGACCAGGAGGCTGATTATTTCATCATGTCGTTATTCGCTTCCGGAGCGCCTCTTGCTCGTCTCTCACTTCTCCTCCGCTCCACCACCTTGTCACTGTCTACCCCCGCTACAATTGCTACCTTGCCACGGATCGCTTCCAACAGACAATTCTTTTCCACTTCGCTCATTCCCTCTCTGACTCTTCCCTTCCTGGGCTCACGAGTGTCATGGAATGTCGTTCAGCAACAGCAAAAGCGAGGGATGAAAGTGCGGTCATCAGTCAAGAAGCTGTGTGAGGGCTGTAAGGTACCATAATCTCCCGCCCTATCCTCCCCATAATCTTGTACCTACATTGCTGTGTTTTCTCTCGTTACTTTTTGATTTTGAATATTCGCCCTCTCCGGGTTGTGAGGTAAACATTTGCCTGACTGCCTTGCAAAACGCCTTACAGTCTGTTCGCCGAAAGGGTAGAGTCTACATCATTTGCGACAAGAACCCTAAGCACAAGCAACGTCAGGGTTAGGTCTAACACCACCTATTCAGCTGTGGGAAGGGTCATAACTGGAGTTTGAGTCATGCCAAAGACTTGATCTTTCTCTTGATGGAGGAAAGCTATTTTACCTTTGTTGGGAGAAGAGTCCACGGAGGAAACTATTGAATGAATTTCCTGTAAAGGCACTATGCTATTAGCTAGCATATACTCTTTTTCCGGTCTACAAATGGTCCATGTAAATCAAGGCGTTTTACTAGTGTTCCTGGGAGTACAACTGTATATTTTGCAAAACTGTGTCGTTACCATTGGTACTACTGGACCGGCCAAGGAATTATGAAGCCAGCCTTGGCGGGGATCAAAGTAATACTGTGTCTGGAGACATTTGCAGACGGCCTCGCTTTCATCCGGTCCAAGGACGGTATTACCGTCCATCTCATCTCATCTGTACCTCAACACCTGGCTCCGCCATTAACATGCCTGTTTGCACCACCACAAACGATCTTGTACTTCCTTTGTACCACCGTCAAAACTAGGCGCCAAAAATGGGACAAAATTGTAAGGCACTCACCAAAAGTTTGGAACGTCATATTCTTCCTTTTATATTTTGGGTCCGGAATAATATATTTTCTGGAATGTTCTTTACCAGAGTCAATCTCATGGCATCTCGGTATTCATCAACAGCGATCAAGCCCATTGCTTGCAAATACACGTCGAGAACACCCGCCCCAGTGCCGTATAACTGTCACGATAATGCCAATATGTTACGCACAAATATTAATGCCTAGTATTAGTGTACGTATGGTTTTTAAGTCAAGATCGACGAAAAATGAAAAAGACGCCTTTGTATGCCTTGCTACTTCAACCAGAGTGCAAAGGTCTTCGTAATCTATATCAATAGGTGCTCATCAATACTGTTAAAGGATGGCACTAGTTAATTCCTAGATTCCTCTTTAAGGAGTCATATCTCAAAAATGGTGTATCTACTTCGAAATCGTTACCATCGACATATATTGCTCATCTGATCTATTACCACTGTCAATCGCCGTCAGATAACCGCCCAGCAATTATGGTTACATCTCTGGATGATAACCCTCCATACTCTAGAATTTCTTTCTTTTCGGTGAGAGTTATCCGGCCTATCGGTTTGGACCGTTTTACAGGGAGATCTAGGGTGAGATTAGTGTTACGTTGTGTATGCCGGTTTTATTAACAACCTGATCAGAGAAGCACACTCACCTCTTTTTTTTTTAAAAAAAAGCATACCATGATCTGATACGTAATGTCTTACCTTCCTAACAATCGTTATCAGTTGTGCCACAAGCCTTAGATTTTGTTACTTTGGCGGATATCCCATTCAGTACTATATTATGCCAGGGCTTGCGTGCATTTGTAGATACTTGGTTTATTTTCGCGTCCTAATTGCGTGCGCCGTTTGATTGAAGTTAAGAAGACGATTCTCTACGCACATGTACGCAATCAGGTGTAAGATGAACTAAACTATGTACAAGGTACCAATCACGAGATCCGCCCCCGTTCACATGATACTAATAGTTTCTACCAATAAATCATGACTACACACAAGCAAATAACCAAACTGTTAACTTTAACCGCCTTCCTTCCTTCCCTCATCTCTAACGGAACTTGACGATCTTAGCGTAATAAAATTCCGCCCCAAATTTGGAGAGCGGAGTCTTCGAGGCGAAAAAGCAATTGACAACGCCAATACTCTAACATAGTGACTCTATCACTCTTATAACACAACCTTATATTTGATTGTTGATGCTTAAACGACACGGCAGTGCTCTAAGCTAAAAGAAATACAGAGAGGATTCGAACGAGTGATAGTTCATGACGGCTTATCTTATTCCTGCCATGACCGGCCCCTACGCACATTACATTCAAGAATTTTGTTTGGCACAAAAAGCCATATCATTTTGGGCCCCTAGTACTTGTTTTCTCTCTGTAGAGCGCGTAGATGATGGGCCTTGTTTGGTGATCGACATCCCCTGAATACACATCATTTCCTTAGTACATGTATCTACAAGAAACTGGACCTTATCAGATGACTTGTAGTATGTATAGTCTTACTCATCGTTACTAATAAGATCTACTTCTATTAGTCAGCTTCTACCATTCAACAGATCGGAAAGGTATCTTTTCATAAAAATTAAGCAAGTGTCTGGCTTTTGATACCTGTCGAGATCTTCACTGACCGAGTTACAGTTCTGTACCTGCCTCCACTCAAGACATATATATACTGTGTGATATATAGGTATACAACTGGGATAATCGTTAGAATATCTTAAGGTTCCAAAGAAAAGTCTTTTATAAACGCAGCAGCGTAATGAACGTATACCTATATTTCATTTATTTCAGGAGACAACTCTTCTCTCAGAAACCTCTCGATCTCTCCTCGTCTGTACCAACTATGCATTACACCCAACGGCTCTTTGGTCCACCGCTACCACAAAACGCTCATTCATACATGGGAGTCATCTACGCCACCAACATTCACCGTTGTCCCCTCCTTCGCCCACCTATCTTTAAAAAGGCCTCACCAGCTCGTAGATATTATAGGATCTTGAGTTATAGCTTCCGAGTCTAGTCTCGTAATGCAACAGACTGGTTGAACTTATACCAGACAGTGAAGTCTGTTCCGGCTCACTGAGAAAGTCGGTCAATTCCCGAAGTTCCATGATGCCTTAGTTACTGCAGTTTGTTTCTGGATTAAGACCTGCCTGACAGGGGAAATTCTATAGCAGGCAAATTCATACAAACTCGACTGGCATTGCTGTCAGACCTCAAGGACAATCACCCTTTGGAGTCCCGTGGTAGCGATAGTGATAGTGGTAGTGGCAATGGTAGTGGTAGTGAATCTTTGACCACCAACTGTTCAAATAATAAAAATTCTACCATGAATGTGAGATGGGGCTAATCAAGGGAGCTTTCCATGAGCTGGACATATACAGTATTGTATTCTCCGTAAACGGGTTGGGCTCTTTCCGGAGGAACTGGGTATACGCGCAATCCTGGCGCCATTCCTATATTTATTCCTTGAGTAGAAGGCGCACTCATGAGACTTCCCGAATGGACCGACTTCCTGAGTAGGCTAGAGTAGGTTTATTTAATCGTAGTTGGATAGGGCACAATCTACACCGAAATAAAGCATTCAACAAACCGTTCAACACTAGTACTATGTTACGGTGTATCATGATGACAGGTGTTTCGATGCGCCTGCATGCAAGGACAGAGTGATACCTTGTGATGAAACATGGCCACAGGATTTTGCCAAGAAGTTCCATATCTGCTGCGAAGCCCCTAAAAAAGGTTGAGATGGAAGCGGGAGGATTGATATGTTTAATAGAAGACCATACCGTTGTACATGTATTCGTCTATCGTTTATCCCCACAGCTAGAACATTTTGTTAGGGTAGAGCAAGGGTTTTAGCCGCGGCTCGTCCCGACGTCACCTCAACAACCGAACAAAAAAATCCTCATGCGCTCCACATTACGGGCTCTTTTCCAGAGTTCCTTGCCCACAATGGTGGCTGGAAACAAAGTGCCGAGTCTAAAACACGTGCGTAGACCATTCAATCCCTGATATTAAGCAGCTTACTGAAACCCAAACGGAATTTGTGTAGTTTATCCAGAGAGCCCGAGTACTATCTTTATGGCGAGATATACTGCGAGCATTAAAACGTGAGATATCTCCCAGACTATAGCTAGAAAACGCATGTTCTTATGTGAGATGGGGGTAAAAGGTGTCAATGACCCTGTGACAAGGTCGGAGCTGCATGATTACGCGCGGCAAGAGATCTTGAGAAATAAGAACATTGATGATATTGTCAGTGAATCCTGCTCCATTAGATACTTGTATCGAAAACTAAATTATACTAGACTCATATACGGTATTTGATATCGGTAGGCCTCATCCCTTCCAACTATAATGACACGGTTTGGCCTCATCTCATCCAGTGAAATCTAGACAGGAAGAAAAGAATTTGAAACTATGGAACAATATACTTTTCGTTAGTTCCAATAAAAGAATATTTATGTAAATTTGGATTGTACGTAGGTAATAGCATTTTCACAGGGTTAGAAAGCGTAAAGTGGGGATCTAGGTCAATATAGTCGAACCAGAACATCCCGTTAATTCCTATCATAGGATCCGAGCACAGGCACATTATCTACATGTGTATATGTCGTGGAGACGTATTAAATCCTCTATTTTAAAAAAGAGTCGACTAGGAAAAACCTAGCCCTGAGAATTATCTCTTTTTAAATCTGAATTTCAATTCGTCCTCACTCTCGTCCTCGCTTTCGCTCTCATTCTTCAGAAACATAGTCTTCTGTTTCTTTCCAACACCCATCCTACCTAAATTGGCAGCAGATGCGCCCCTCTTTATTCCTCGAGAAGGCGAATCCGCTATAGAAACCGTTTGGCTTGAGGCTTGGGTGTGTGCCTGCGTTTGTGTCTGCCTTGTAGATCGCGCTGAATTAGTGGGGGCAGGTCGAAACTGAGTATCACCCTTATCGGAGTCTCCACTGTCTTCGTTAACCAGCACTGACGCCGTTTCCCGAGCCGTCTTTCTTGTTGATTTATTACTTTCATCATCAACCCAGTAGCCTTGAGATATCTTCTTAGCAAAGTCCCAGAGAGAAAAAAAAACAGTGTGGAAAATCTTACCGTCGCCAATCCCATAGTCCTTCCCTTTGTGCTCAACCAAATTCACCATTACGCTGCCCCTCATAGTCCTCATGCCTCCGCCCCTTCCTTGCCTTCTAAATTTCTTGAAATTTTTCCTCCCGTTCCACTTGTCATCCCATCTATCGCCATCATCACCATATACGCCTCTAATCGGTTTATCGGTCCTTGGCTTGATCTCCATAACCTCTACGATAGCCAAGTTTCTCATCTTCTCAACCTCAAGACCATCCATCGCCGCTAGTTCCTCTTCCCTTGCTCTTCTAGCTTTTTCTTCTTCCTGTTGTTTGATTTCACGAGCTCTTGCAACATATGAATCCTCTTTCTCACTTAGAGCCTTCTTACTTTTGCCTTTCAGAGGTGTTTGCTCCGGCGTTTTGACGACTTCAGCTGGTTCGTCCGTTGGTGGTATGGATTCGCGAGGCTCTTCCATTATTGTTTCCCCCCTTCGGATCCGCTCTTCTTCCTCTGCAATCTTCCGCCGTTTCACTTCTCTAGCCCCAGGAAGCATGTCCATTATATCAAATTCCGGACCCTCAATTGCAGCCGGGCGTTTTCGATCAACAATGACAACGCATGGGGGGGCAGGTAATCTAGTACTCGACTCTGTAGTCGATACGGACATTCGCTCATCATCTTCTTCTTCTATAGGTGTATCGGAAATTCTCTGGCTTTGATGTGTCTGGCGTGTCTGGCGTGTCTGCCTTACTGAACTCTGGCTAGCAGTCTCTTTGACCTGAAAAGAAGCTTGAGTGCGTGCAGGAGGTGAGGGCACTCTAGCCCCAGAATCCTGTAGCTCCGTCTTTTGATTTGTAGTACTTGATAGGCTTTGGACTGGGGGTGGTTTGAATTCCGATGGATCGATTGCAAATGGGTCAAGCGTTGTTTGACGAGTCCGAGCCTGAGATTCCCACATGTTAGTTGATGCTAAGAGAAGGGTTTGATAGGGATCCTACTCTTCCACCTCCACGTCCACGTCCGGAAACCATGGCTGATGGAATTGGCATCTGGGGGGCAGTAGTCTCTAGTATTTCCATATTCGATTTCGTTGGCGTAAGAGTTGATTTAGAGGGTGGATTATTAGGGATACGAGTGGAAAGAGTCATTTCTACTAATCTTATGAATATTAATGTTTCCGTAGATGGGGCGAATTCTTAGGGGAGACGGACCCTGACCGGGATCAGCTAACAAATTTGTAGGTTGCTCTCGAAGAGGCAGCCTCAAACGGCTCGTATCACACATTAGGATAATATCCAAGAATTCGTTTTGCTCTATCATACGAAAGCCCAGCCTATGATAATATTAGTCAAAGAAATTCATCGGAGATAAATTCATCTCCAAGAATGCCTTGAAATCATCGTGTATACTGGATTGTTGGAGTCATACATTTCTTGTACTTCTGTAGAAAGTTGATTTACCCATTCCGGATCCTGCTTTCCGATAAATCTGACTATGACAACTTGCGACCCCCTCTCTCGTTTATTCACGAACTGTACCAATTCTTCAGCTGTTGTCTTCTTCGGTTCCAGATCAAACATCTCTAATTTTCCATGTGCGTCCGTGATCGGACCTAAAAAGTTTTCATACTGAACCCTTTCGCAAACTATAAAAGTATAGCCTTCGAACAGAGAGTTCCTCTTCTTATCCGGTCTAAATCTCCAAGGCTCTCGGTCTTTAGGTTCGTTAGTGCGCGGTGGAAGGTAGCTCTCCGGGTTTGGCCAATTCCCTTCAAAGTCTACTTCTAAGGGCGACCCTTTCACTCGATCATCATCTCTCGGGGTATTGGCCTCGACGATAGCATCAAGATACTCGGGCGTGACTATACGTTTTCCGTTTATCAGCGCTTGTAATCCCACAGCGGTGTTACGTTTAGTCGCAATGACATGTGTAGTTTCTGGAACATATCCGCCGATTGTTTTGATATCAAGAATTTCGACCTTCTTTTGGTAAGGTCTCATTGCTTTCTTAATATCTTTGCGTTCTTTGCTTGAAAGAGAGAAAGAGATAACAACAGGTTCCCAAAACAGCCTAAATGTTATTGTGAGCTAGATTCTAAGTGTATGGAAGATGAATTCTACCTAAAGCCTGGTTCATACTTCCCAAGATGAAGAAAGTGCTCGTCTCCGCTTAATGTCTTGGTCTGATCTCTCATTTCTTCGCCATCGAGTCTGGTTCCATGTCTGGTGCCACAGTCTTGAACGAGAACATTTGGACGATAGTGTAACTTCAGCTGAATGGAACAAACATTCAGTTAGTAAAGTATGTCATGTTAGGTTGTGGCTGTAGAAGCTACCCCATCACCCTCTGAAACCATTTCAACCTCGATGACCAAATGAATCCTGGATATTGATTTTTGTGAGGGCATCGGCAGATTTACTAGCCCCGTAGGAGTCAACTAATGCTCTCACCCTTCTAATTATGGCACTCAAAACCTCATACCTTCTTCAGACGGAACTCTGCCTAGGACATACTTCTTGCCAGGCTTCAACCATAGTTTCTTACCAGCGAGAACTTCACCTTCACATTCAAGTAGCCACATTTCTAGAAATGTTGTGTGGCAGTGGCCTTTCGAGGGTGATAGAGGACGTGAGTAAAACGCGACCGAGCCAATCGACCGTTGATTTCCACGGGTTTACGCGACAATACACGACAGGGGTGAGGTGGTAGGTGCTCTCACGTGATTATCACAGATTCACGTTCATCCGTGCTTTGTTCGATTGCATCTTTGTTAATGGAGTAGTTTTTGTAGAACAGGCCTCAAAATCAAATTTTATGGCTTTTCAATCTTCTTCCGAAGCGGAAGTGATCGTCAAGGCAATTGGACCCTATTGCCATAATGAGTGACGCAGCCTGACGCGCCAGGCCAGATCATGCATGGCGCCCCCCCGCAAACGGGCGAGTGACGAGTGAATAGTGAGGGGCCCAGCAAAACCACGAGACTTGCAAATCAGCATCAACAAACAACTCACAACCCATAAGATACCCATTCATCGCCCTCCATCTACCTTCAGTCCCAATCCATCTCATTCCCACAACATCAATAGCTATGTCCGAAGAAGCTCCCAACTCCCCAGATACTACCCCCATTTCTCCTATCAAGGAGCGCAAGAACTCCTTAGAGCAGGGTATGCAAGCACTGTATCATCAGGGGTGATAACTGGCCTAACATCAAATAGCTCTCAAGGCTCGCCCAGACGAGAAAGAGCTCAAAGAACGCCACATCTTGCATACTGGAGCTCCTGCTATTCAACAGGTTCAGCACGGTAATGACATAGCTTAAGTTTTTTGTTATTAATAACTTCACTAATCTATCTCGATCAACAGACCTTGAAACAGCTATGGCCAAGGATGCTTTAAAGAAACATCTGGCGAAGAGACCGGAGAAAGAGGATCTTGTGCAGCGTATGTGCTAGCTATGTATCATACCCAACGAATATTTACTGACTTATTATCAATTAGGCAATATTCTTCCTGTCAATGCCAATGCTGTCGCTCCAGGTATAGTGGCACATCAGAAGGAATTGGAACGGTCCATGTTGGAAGACAATCTCAAGGTTTGTACTCAAAAGATGGATAATTTAGATTTGGGGTGGATGCCCTCGTGCAGAGTTCCGGCCCGCCTCAACGAGCTCAGACATATCTTGATCCGTTCTCTATTGACACGACTATAGGAAAAACTTGCCCACCGTCCGGATCCCAAAGCTGTCATTCAGCAGGGAATTCTATTGCGTAAATATACCCTTAATACTCACAGTCAAAATTCAAATAATATACTAACTCGATACTTAATTCCCAGCCGATGAAGACCCAACCCGGCCTCAAGAATAATCGATATCCCTTGTCTTTGAATCATAGCTCCAAATTCAATACTTGTTGACACTCCCAAATGCTGTTTTTAAGGGAGTGTGTCAATGAGATTGTTTGTCCCTTTGTCTCTAGGAGTTAAACCAGTTTATTGCAGCACGAGCCTTTCAGTTTTATATTCGGTAGGGACGAGATTATATCAAAGCAAAACCAAAAAAAAGAAAGAAAAAAAGCAGTGAGGGTTGCTGTTTTTTATTTTATTTATATCATTGTTGGATCTCGTTTTGTGCCTAGTCCTCCTACTTTTGCTTTAAGTACGGCGAGTTCCCCGCTTTTTAACCCCGCTGTTACCCCAAGGCGAAGGTGTAGCCGTGATAGCGACGACCCCTAGTACCCCCTAGACTATGTCCAGATATAATTAATCCACGTCCCCAAAGTAAGGAAGTAAGCAGTACCTTCGTTATGCATAAATCGCTCCATTCAATACGTGCACTCTGCGGACCTTCTCCATCTGGCTCCATCTTGGAGAATATGAGAAACTTCTAGAAACACAACCAAGGATTAGTAGACCGGAAAGCCCGAAGAGTATTAGAACTTAGAACGGGTTGCGATACGGGCGTTTGACTCACGATTCCGTACGAATCCTTTATAAGATCGTATCTACTTCTTGTAAACTTCCGTCGTATTTTCCACAGCTTTGAATCCCCGATACCCCCGCAAAGATCGAGAGAAGTGTGAAAATAATAACGATGGTGAAGATTGAGCCTTTTGCAGTTGAACAAGTAAGTTCTCAATCATTGTACCCGTTGATGAAGCTACCTACTCATATATATCGCTACAGTGGATGGACAGATACGAGACTGTTGCAACCTATAATATCGCCGAGACTTGTTGCGATTCCTTCTCTCTCACAGACCTTTCCTTATTATCATCGTCGGATTCAGGCGAAGATAAGTTTCAGGAATCCCTCAATAAACTACTAAAAAGGAAGCTGGGATACGGGCACATTCGCGGCTCCCCCGAGTTTCGTGAAAATGTTACAAAGCTCTACTCTTCGTCATCTCCTATGGGAAAGCTCCCAGTTGACAACGTTCTGATCACCCCTGGGGCTATCGCAGCTAACTTTCTGCTGTTATATACCCTCGTAGGGCCTGGTGACCATGTTATTTGCATGTATCCGACTTACCAGCAGCTCTATGCCGTGCCAGAGTCTTTAGGTGCAGAGGTGGAGCTCTGGAAGTTAAAGGAGGAAAACGGATTTACAGCCGATCTTGAGGAATTGGAGAAGCTCATCAGGCCAGCCAGCGAGGATGGAACCGGAGGAACTAAGCTCATCATTATCAAGTACGATTGACCACCCGCCTTACTACACAAAACAAACGTTGATACTAACTTATACAATCGCACCCAGTAACCCCAATAACCCTATTGGGAACTTTCTCCCTTCTGACGCACTCCATAAGATCGTCAATCTCGCTAAAGGTTCTGGCAATATCCCAATTCTTTCTGATGAAGTCTATCGCCCTCTATTTCATTCTTTGGGCACCTCAACACATCCGCCATCTATCATTGATATTTATGATCATGGTATCGCAACTGGCTCCATGTCTAAAGCATTTTCGCTCGCAGGCTTACGTGTGGGATGGATCGCCGCTCGCCAACACAAGGTAATCGACGCCTGCGCCAGTGCACGAGACTATAATACCATCTCTGTATCACAACTTGACGATACAATGGCAACACACGCTCTCTCTCCTAGCGTCGTCTCGAAGATCCTAGAACGAAATGTAGCATTGTGCAATACAAACCTAAATATTCTCGACGATTTCATCACCCGGGTGCCTGAGGTTAGTGACGGGAAATTTAACGCCTCGTATATCAAGCCTACCGCCGGGACTACAGCATTTGTAAAGTTTGAAAGGAAGGATGGGGAAACAGTGGATGATAAGAGATTTTGTGAAGAACTACTGGAGAGAAAGGGGATCATGTTTCTGCCAGGTGGGGTGTGCTTTGGGCATGGCGAAGAGTTTGCAGGGTATTTTAGAATTGGATATTGCTGTGGAACGCAGGTGCTGAAAGCTGGGCTCAAGGGAGTGGGGGAATTTTTGAGGGAAGAATTTTAGGACTTCGAGACATATCTGTTTCGGGATAAAAATTGGCCTCAGCGCTATAATCGTGAAATATGATAGCTCTTTGACCCAACTACATATATAAAAGGTGGATCATTGCAAGGGCAATAAAATTGAGACCTGTTGGAATACTTTGCTGAGATGACCTGCTGTCGATGGGTGGTACCAGGCCCGAGTGATTAGTCGTGAAATTATTAACCTTCACATGGGTCACGCATTCTCACATGTCAAGGTCACCCATGTTAGTTAACCCTGAAGTCGCAACCCACTTAAAGTTAACCTGGTGAGAAGCACTCAGGGTTCAAGGTCTTGGCGCTAGATAAAAGCAGTGAAAATTATTATGCTACCGGTAGTAGGTACTGTCGCAGTAAGTATATAGTAAGTAAGGGAAGGGTATAGAAGCACAAGGCAAGCATATTCGAGACTACTCGGAGAAAATAAAATAAAAGAGTCCCTCCGGTTTATAAAACTCCCAGCGAAGTAGTGGAAAGAAAGCAAAGGAAGGAATAAAAAGATAAGAGATGATGAAAGTAGAAAAATGAGGCCGGCGCTGCGACGAATTACAAAAAAGACACCCCAATACTCTATCACCGAATTTTAACATCCGGGCCTGACAATACAGAGAGGTGATCACTCCACAACATAGTCGATCAGCAAACTCGACAAGTCTACAATTTATTCTCCCCACACCCACCCCTAGAATTACGTTCGTGGTCGCATGTTGACATCCTCGGACGCTTCCTCGGATGAAGCGTTCTTGGGTTTACTAGGGCTGCCTTTTGTGGGAGCATTTTTTTTGGCTTCAGCCTCCTTTGCCTTGCCCTTCTTATCCTTCTTATCGTTTTCTTTCTTTGCAGCATCAGCGACAAGTTGCTCGAAAACCCCTTCGGGGAATTCTTCATCGGGATCACGCTCGGCCTATGTAAAGTTAATACTTGCCCATGCCTAAAACAGGAAACAGGGGTTCTGTTATCAGGGGATGCTTACGGCTTTGAAAATAGTACCAATCATAATTAGCGCATGCGCTCTCTCGACTCTTTTCTCCAACTTTACGTTCTTATCGTTCAAAACCCTGTCGCAGACATCCCTCAAAACACTCTGGATCTCGGACTTGCTCCCTCTCCACGCAGCCGCTAAGATTTTCCCCGTAACCTTCCGTTCGTATTCGGCTTTCTTCTCATCTGTCCAGTCGTCGCCACCCTTTTCTTCGAGTTTTGCCATCTCCTCCATTGTCATTTGGGCGTCAATCGCGGTGGAAATAGTTCCCCAGGTATCCTTGACGATATTGCCCTTATCCTTTAACCTACTAAAGAATCCACTAATTCCTAAGAACTTTTGGGACTTGATGAAAGATGCACCCTTCGATATGTAAGTGTACCCAATAGCTAGTAACCACCGTTAGCCCCCATCCACGAGGAATCAGCCTGGCCGCGGTAACCTACCATGAAGGATCTCAATTCCAAAGCTCTCCATCTTGAGGTTCTCAACCTCACATTTCGTCTTTTCATTAAATGAGCGCGTGGTGTCCGGACCTTTATCGGTCTCGGTCCAAACACAAATTCGATCAACCAATTTTTTGGTCAACATCTCAACCCTCTTATTCCTAGTCTCTCTCTGTTCCGCCTGGAGTGCAGCAAATGCTTCCCGCTGCTTTTTTGTCATTCCAGCCTTCTTCCTGTCCTTGCGCTTCAGCTCTTTCTCCTCCTCTGTTAGGCCCTCAGCAGCCATCCGGTCCTCTTCGGATTTGTCCATGAGCATTGCCCTCGTTGGAACGCCTTTTGGACGAGGTGTGCTGGATCTGGAAGCAGTAGGACTGGACTTTGTAGGAGGTATTGGTAGCTCGGAACTAGAAGTAGCAGCCGCTGCCTGTGGCGTTGGGGTAGTTCCATCTGGTGTGACAGGAACAGGTGCATGAAGCTCATCAGAAGTTGTGGGCTTGTGCTCTGTGGGCTTGTGCTCCCCAGACACCCCGGGGGAAGAAGAACCTGATTTGATCTCAGAATCCTTATTTTTGGCTTCTTCTTCACTTGCCGCTTCTTCCTCCTCCATCTCTTTCATGGTTATCTCCATAGTCCGGGTAAGGTCCTTCATTAAAGAGAGTTCCCCGATCCTATCACGTCAAGATCAGTGAAGCCGCGCGTGGTTATGTATGAAAGGGCAACAAACCAATCTTCAAACGCATCGCCACCAAATATCATGCTGAAGAATTCCGACGGATCCTCTGTAAACGACCTTCGTGTTAGTAAAACGGACCGCTCAATGAACTAATTCCAGGGTCTCGAAAATGCAGACAAAGGGCCATGTACCGAATCCACTATCTGGAACAGCTCTCTCCTTTCCGTATTTGTCGTACTGTTTTCTGAGTTCTTCATTGCTAAGTACTTGATACGCTTCGCTGATCTTTACGGAGTTAGTATCAAGCACTTTAATAAGATAGACAAGTATAAAAGCGCTTCCACAACATAGGAAGAAACCTTACAGCTTGAAACTTAGCAGGCGCCGTCGGGTCGTCAAGATTCTTGTCAGGATGTAGTTTTATTGCAAGTTTCCTGTACGCCTTCTTGATCTCCAGTTCCGAGGCAGTGGGCGTCACCTCAAGGGTGTCATAGTACTCTGTTTCTTTCACCATCGTAGGTTGTTTATTTGTAAGTAAAGTTTCAGTTCTGTGAAGGGTATTCTCAATGTCGGGTGTTTATTTCATGACTGAGGGAAGGACGGTGGAAGAGGGAAGAAGAGAGAAATCAAATGAGACCCTGGAAGGCGGCGGAGTGGGGCAGTGGCTGGGGTAGTGACGTTGCGTTAGCCCCAATTGCTGCGGCCTGGTGACTCAGCATGAACCCTTTTTTTTTAGTCGCGGTTTCGGAGAGTCCCGTTGTTTGTATCAGCTACGCTGCGCCTGGCGATTGAAGTATGGGTTTCATAGAATGATGAACAATTATATGTCTCTGTCTCAATCTGAACGCATGTGCTTAATAGGCCTACAATTGTTTGTATTTCATGTAGTTTGCTTACTATTTAGGTGCCAACGAACCGGTAAGGCCCCGAATACACGCGTACACCGTACCGAATGTTAATGTACGTTACATACTGTAAAGGCTAATGGAATTAAATCCTTCACGGGGATATGGTCAACACGGGGGTGTGGTCGATTCCAAGATTTTGAATGGAAACCAAAAGAGCTATTCGATCAACTCCCTGCGTATCATATATCACTCCGGCGTATAATTGAGATTGACCATACCCCAGTGAAGGAGTCTACGTGTATGACTGAGATGGACTCTAGGCATGCCTATATGTAATTAGTTCTTGAGTGCATGTAACCCCCATCAACAAAGATGGCAAATATCTATCTGCTGGAGTATATTCTCTCGCCCCCCCCGCCCCCCCCGGGCCGGATAATCTGATAATCATAACTAGGTCCACAACGGCGCCGATAATCATTGATTTGTGACTTCACCCCTAACCCTACGCCAAGCAAGCCCTGAGCTATTACATACATACCACATACTCACCAAAAAATAAAGTCTGGCGATGAATTCAGTACCTGGCCTAGTTAATGGTTGCCTTGCAACGGTACATAGGGCCCGTTTGGCCTTGTGGGGAATGACTTATTCTAATGTCTCCTTGGCAATGAAAAGTTTCGAAGTCAAAGGGCCCAAAATCAACTCTACGAGTCTGACCTACTTTTATTTTAAGTCACCACCACTACATCGCTTCCAGCAACAACCTTGACCACCGGTACGTACCACTACCACCATTCTCATTTAATTACCCTTATACTCATTGTTGCTGCTTATTGAAATCATAATATTTATAAAGAAAATCTAAAATATTGTAAACTTGTATGACAGCTCAATCCTCGACTATCAGGAAAAGATTGGGCTATATACAGTATCCGGTAGAATTATTGCGAAAGTCAGAACTAAAAGAGTGGGTTTCTTGGTCCGTGCTCACTGCAAAAATTCCTTTAAGGGCCAATGGGACTATCTGGTCACGGAAAACCCACTTTCGCATTAATTCTACCAGAATCTGTATGTGCGGATTTCCAATACAGATTGCATGACTGCCAAACAACAGGTAGGCAACTTCTTTTGGAACCAACTTAATGCGGGTAGATAAGTCGCTTGGTTGCAACAACCTTCTGGCTTCCAAACGGGCCCTTTAATTCATCGCCAGACTTTATTTTTGGCGAGTAGGTACTCTAGGTCCCCGGGCTAGGGGTTTTTGGGGGGTGACATTACAAGCACTAATAAACGCCTTCAATCACAACCAGTAAGCACAGAAAAATTGAGAAAAACTCATAGTTACCTATGCCTATTAAGCTGGTAAATCCTCAGTGCCAGGCGATCCCCTCTAGCTCTGTCTCGCATAAAACACCACAAAGTCCTAAGGGTTTCTGTACTGCTACATATATGCTATGCGTAATTCTACTCATATCTTGTGAATTTAATTTCTTTATCAATTGTCTTATAATTAGTGGGAACGATACCTATGGGCGCAGATCAGCATCTATGTGTAACTCCCTAGTTAATTTATCTTTTGTAATTTCGGTCTTTCAGCACCCAAGGCCAATTCACTCCCTTTCCTTCACCTATGCCTCATCAGCTCAGGATAAAGATGACTTAAATCAATATTGCCAAGCATCCACCATGAAACTTAGACCTATTATTTCTGAAGCTACTTTGCTCCTCTCATTCCTCTTCGTGCTTAAATGATGCCATGTGCTTAAATCACTCGCTTGCTGACATGAATTCTTGATAACATAATTATAACCCAAATATAGTTGAAACCCATATGTGCAAATATAAACAATCATATGATCATCCCTTGTTGTGGTTAATCGAGGAAGGAGTCATTTCCTCGGGGAGTCCATTCGTTGTACGGCGTTCCCAGCAGATTGACTGAAAGGAAAACCAAATCCAAATCAAAATCAAAAAAAAAAAAAAAAAAAAAAAAAAAAAAAAAAAAAAATCCACCAAGATGGTACGCAGAATCCTCCTCAGGTAGCCCCGCCCTGCGCCATACGAATGAAACACTGTTCATACGCGTCATGGATTTCGGGAACAGTATAACCATACTCCTTAAGTTTGTTCACTAGCTTTGAAGTATCAAGCATACAATTGGATCGACCTGCTTTGATTACTTTGCTTTGCTCCTCAATCGTAAAGTTCTTCCATTCAAAGTCTGGGCGGACGTATTTCTTGAAAAGGCTTAGGACTTCATTGTGTGAAATAGCACCAGGATTGGTCTGGAATATGTAACTCCTCAGCAAGAGTCAGTTTTCTGAATCGGCGGGGACATAAACTTACAAAGTTATATACTCCCAACTCTGAATTCTCTGCTAGAATGATCGATGCTGGGAGAAGGTCGGTAAGGATTGTATTTGACTAAGACGGAATTAACTAAACGCTATTCGGGAGGGTAGCCAGAAACTCACGTTCGGAATATCTACAACCCTGTCATACTGAGAGATCTTTGTGACAAAATTTCGGGCGTGTAAATCATCCGATACTGGCATGCGGAGCCTCAAAATAAGAACATTTGGATATGTCTTCATTATCTAAATTGACCAGATTGCGCATTAGCACCCACACCCCTCATTAGCGCAAGATAGTTCCACCTCCTCAACTTTGGACTTAGTCGCTGAATAAAAAGATCCGGCAAAATTTGCTTCCTCCTCCTCCCTGAAACCTTCTCCTCCGATTTTATGTTTCTCGTCGTATTCATATATACAGCCCGTGGCGAAAACAGTGCAATGTATCCCCTTTAGGTAACAGCAGTCTGTAAGATTCAATGAGCCTATAACATTGGATCGAATGGTGGCTTCTTTGTTATCTTCACACCAGTCGACATTAGGTCTTCCGGTGCAGCCAGCAGCATTGAGCACATGGGTCGGCTTCAGTTCATCAAGAGTTCTAGAGCAATTAACTATCAGCCCTGGTATCAAGGTTCCGATCAAGGGAAAAATTCTACTTTAAGACAGATTCACGATCTTCCATACGGACTGTGGTGGTAACAACATCTTTACCTCGTTTCTCGAGAATCATTTTGAGGTGACCAGCAACCCATCCATTTCCTGGTGTCGCGTCAGTTTCGGTTCCAGAAATCCAGGGCTGATGATGTGATACGTACCACCCCAAATCAAAAATTTGTTCTTGGGCGAGAGAAGAACCATTTTCGTAGATGTAAAGATATCGGGCAATTGCCTTGTGTTGTATGAGATCTCCAGTTGGAAAGTGAGAAAGTTACGAGACGTAAGCGACTCGACTGATCCTAGGAGGGGTCTTTAATATATCTTTTGCGGGGAATCAACTAGGCCAAACCGCAAGAAATAGGATCCTAGGATACGAAGGGAAAACAACAAAGAAACTCACGTGTCCTAAGTTAGGCTGTTTAGACGGTCCGGGCCGCCTTAATTCTTCAAAGGACCCTGAATTAGTAAAGAGCTATGGACGACGCTACGATAGCCCCAGAGTTCCGGCGGGTGAAACTCGCTCCATGTCCTTACCCTTCCCAGCGATCTTGGAAAATCTAGCCTGGTTTAGAATAAACCCAGGGCCTAACTCTTTGCTTGGCAATGATTTAACGGTCCTTTCTGATAGATCTGACATCAACAAGTAAGTACATGTAGCTTTCAATTTGACTCCTGGACTGTGACCTCATATGATCATGTAATCATGGGGTTTAGCCTCCAATCCTTAGATAGAGAAGAAACTTAGCTATTCTATAGAGAACCATCGGGGCTACAGAATAGCTACTTTTTTTTCAAATTTGTCTGAATTGCAGTATTATACTGACCAGCACCATATTCCCAATAATTCTAAGCGACATGTTAAGCTGCGCCCAAGGTAAGGGCCTAAGCCATCGATGTACATAAGTACATGGAGGTACTACGTACCTTGTAGAACAGCTAATATAAATTTTAAGAACGCATCAATTATGAAGCTCTCGCAGCTTGGCTAGCAGTGTACATGTACACACACACACACACACACACACACACACACACATTTGTCGAGTGATGGTTTAGTGCAGATCCCTTGAAGAGCACTTCGGGTCAGGGAAATCTATACTAGAGGATCAATGAAACATCATGTGTCAATTGCAAGAAAACCTTGGTTCAAACCAATTATCATCACAAATTCATGACTTGTGGCGATTTGTGGCCAAGGCTAACCGTCAATAAACAGTGTCAAAACGTAGGTGAAAGTGGTGTACACATAATGCGGTATCACTTATCGTCGTTAATTTGGCAAAATATTGTGAATCATGGGAAACGAAGGCTTTGAGGATATAATCGTAGAGCCCAGAGTATCATGCCTGCTATATGGTTAACAGCTAACACCCTAATCCAATTTGATGGTTTAAAAGACATTAGCGCCCCCTTATAAAAAAAAACCCCTTGATTCCAATCGCATGGTATGTACATATTATTTAATATAGCACCCATCAAACAGTACTACATACCATTCAAGGTCCAGTGTTGACGTCGAGAATCACAACAAATCACTCCTTTGAATTCTTGGCGCCAGAATAGCGTTTCCGTAAAGGGAAAAGAACAGGGAAAGCTCCCGCATCGCATCACGTCACCCCACGCCCGGTACTTTGCAGGATTCACATACATACCCGTCCTCCGTTATCGTGATCGCCGCGGAAGATCCCTTGGCTTTCATTTGCATTAAAGATTCATAGCGACATTAGTAATTGAACTCAAACCCTAATCAATGAGATGTGCTTCCCCGCTTTTCGACGTTTATAAGGAAACGTGCATCTAATTCCCATAGTCAGTTTACGCAAACCCAATTCCATTCATCATTAACACGTACCAAATTTTCAAGATCTTTCGATATCAGTTGCAAAAATGACACTTCCACTATTCAAGGAATTAACTGCCCCTAATGGCAAGAAGTTCAACCAGCCACTTGGTATATATTCCGAGTTTGGTAGGTTTATCACTGCTGACTTTAACTAGGGCTTTTCATCAATAATGAATTCGTTAAGTCACAGTCCGGCGAGACTCTTACGACGATCAGTCCAACGTATCTTTACCTTCATCTTTTAAATAATTTCACTGCCCCTCTGCTAATTTGTTACAGGGATGAAACCGAGATTACCGATGTCTACGCCGCAGATGCTGCAGATGTAGATATCGCTGTGAAAGCTGCTCGTGCAGCCTTCTTAAATCCAGCTTGGTGTGACATATCACCAGTCGAGCGTGGACAGCTGCTCTATAAACTTGCGGATCTGGTTCAACAACACGAGGAACAACTGGCTACGATAGAGACTTGGGATATGGGAAAGCCATATACTGTTGCCAAGGCAGAGGATCTTGCGGAGAGCGTGAAGGTATTCAAGTAGGTCTCCTTTCCTCCAAGGAACGAACTCGTAGATTCTCGTTCTAATGGGATACGTTGGAAAGGTATTACGCCGGTTGGGCAGACAAAGTTGAAGGACGCACCATCGACACTGGTCCAAATAAGCTTGCATACACTCTACATCAACCAGTTGGAGTTTGGTATGTAATTCCAAAACCTCAGATAAACGAGTGCTAACTCGTGCTTAAAATAAATAGTGGACAAAGTAAGACCCAACGCATTTTGACTAAGAAGTTATGCTAACTAAAAAGTTGTCCCTTGGAATTATCCTTTGATGGTAACTTACTCAACTCTCATTTCAAATACAAGAGCCTTATAATAACCGATTTAATAAGATGGCTGCCTGGAAACTGGCACCAGCACTTGCCTGTGGAAACACGGTTGTTCTTAAATCGGCAGAACAAACCCCACTTTCGGCTCTTTACCTCGCACAACTTGTCAAAGAAGCCGGGTTCCCTCCGGGTGTCGTTAACATTCTCACCGGATACGGTAAAACAGCTGGTGCAGCCATTGCGGGACACGAAGATGTCGATAAAATCGCCTTTACTGGCTCCACGGCAACGGCTAGGCACATTATGAAGGCTGCTAGTGTAAATCTGAAGAATATGTATGTTTGTACTTCATGATCCCTATAGACTTCATACTTTGTGAAAGTCTGTATCACGGCCGCTGCAGCGTGATAGTGGGCCAATACTCCATCGCTGTCTTCATCGAGCCATCTAAAACTAACATTCATACTTGTCTAATAGTACATTAGAGACTGGAGGAAAGAGTCCCTTGATCATTTTCGAAGATGCAGACCTGGAACAAGCTGTCAAGTGGGGACATGTCGGTATCATGCATAACATGGGTCAGGTTTGCACTGCTACCTCTAGAATTCTCGTTCACGAGAGCGTTTATAGCAAGGTAAATCCATCATCTCTAGATCTATAATAACGTTCTTATATTCTAACGTTTAACTACGACCAAAGTTTATCGAAAGATTCAAGGAAGAAACAGCGAAGGTCTCCGTTGTTGGAGATCCGTTTTCCGAAAAAACTTTCCAGGGCCCACAAGTCTCCAAGCAGCAACATGAACGTATTTTGGAGTACATTGAACATGGAAAGGCCGAGGGTGCTACCCTCGTTTCTGGGGGAACACCCCATGGAGAGAAAGGATTTTTCGTGGCCCCGACAATTTTTGCTGACGTGAAAGCTCACCACAAAATCAATCAGGAAGAGGTCTTCGGTCCTTTCGTTGTTATTGACAAATTCTCGACCCAGGAAGAAGCCATTTCAAGAGCAAATGGTACGCAATATGGCCTAGGAGCATCAATCTTCACAAAGGATATTACAAGAGCACACAGGGTTGCCGCAAAGCTTGATGCTGGAATGGTTTGGATCAACAGGTGACTTATATGGAAACATGCGTTACTGTGTGCGAATCACTAATATATTTTTACGATATAGTTCTAACGATAGTCACTATGCTATACCTTTTGGGTATGTGTTTATAAATTTCATTTATTTTCCCTTTCCCCAAAGTACCGGGACATTCTCCGATGGAACGCAGTCTTGTTATTGGGCAGGGCGGGCGTAGGTCTTCCAATAACTTGGTTCTGCGTTTCAGATACCGCCGTCGTGCGGTACGTCCGATTGGGCCAACCGGTTTATTTGGGTCATGTCCACAGAATGGGGGGAAAGAATAAGGGACCACGCACACAATGTGCTCTGCGGATACTCCCGCGCCGCTTTTCGTTGCGCCATCTGCACTACAAGCGACTGATTGCCAAATCCCGGGGTTGCTGAACTTGCGCCTGCCTGTATCAGCACTTTATTTGAATCATAATGTCGCACTGTGTTGCCGTAAGCGAATAATGCTGACTGACATTGGAATAATAGAGGTGTCAAGCAATCTGGTATTGGTAGAGAACTCGGACAGTACGCTTTATCAGCTTACACAAATGCCAAAGCGGTGCATGGTGAGTTGTATTCAGTCTTTACTCTTTCAATCTCCGGAGGTTCTCCGCCGTGGTTTTCAATTGCTGATCCACGACAGTGAACCTGGGAACCGTGCTCTAGGGAAAACCATTGTGGTCCATCCGGGATGACACAGACTTTGGACAAGTCGCCCTTCGCCCTTCGCCGTTCTGTCGAGTGGGGGTCACGATCGTGGGATGAAAGCCTGGGAGTTTGGCCAGAAGTTTCAATTGTTTGTCACTTCTCTGATGGATATAGAAATTTTACATAAAAAGAATCCCAAACAACGCTTTGTTTTTCCTGACTTCGTATTTCCCCACGATCTACAAGCAAAGATGTGTGTGCATAAATTTGCAAGGCATGGTTGACGTCCGTTTACGTTATTGATGGAGCAGTTCGTGACGAGATGTTGACGATGTGGGCTATCACATCCAACTAGAGGAACATAATAATGTGGAGGATTTATAGATATAGTATTTACACATGTACTTACCAAGCCTTTAGTAGAACATACGTACCTAGAAAATCATCACGCACAACATGATGCTACTCTAGTTTTGGTCCGGGGTAGGTCCCTTTGTTGGTAATGCAGGGTAAGCTCTCGTCTCGCTATGATCTCATTCATGCCTTACCAGTAGCGTTGACAATAACAGCGGTGAGATTTGGTGAACAGCTGAATTGGCCAAGCATGCACTGTGTCACCGAATACTCGGGCTTGGCATCCAACGGACTACATGCATCACCGCCGTGAGAAATCTGATCACTGAACGGGAGAACGATCCACGTGAACGGGTATTTAGATCCCGCATTGCACAGTACTCTAGAGTAGAGTACAGCACGGAATCCGCATCGGCAACACATACCTACAGGCGGTACAGCCGTACCCTAGGAGTTGTCCGGTGTCGTGCTGAAGCTCTATTTCTTTTCTTTTTCTTCCGATGTTCCAATATGGACGGCATGGGGGGTCGCCCTTTATGGGAGCGAGCTCTACAGGGATCCTATTACCCCGCGTGTTCGCTCGTTCTGTCTGCCTGATTTCGAATCTTTGATGAGATTTGAGCACAGTGCGCTCATGGCCCATCCTACTTTTTTCTTTTCTTATTTTGCTGCCTACTTTACTTGGCTGGAAATGCTGGCGCTTTAACTTCATCCCGCATCTTCTTGCCGGATCTCATTATTTAGCTTGCTACTCTATACGGGCAGCAGTGTAGTGCTGTCTCGGAAGTATTACTGTAATCATGACTATGGAACGCCTCTGGTGCTTTGACGATCTGATAGATAGCTTAGCCCAAGACTTTTTTCTTTTTCATTTCTTTTCCGGGTACCCATAGAGCAAGTGAGCATCGTGCAGTTGTGTCTTTCTTCTGATAACGACTTCTTATGTCGAAGGTCTTAGCTAGTCAACTTTATACCCAGGTCCTGTGCCCAGAAGGTGTACTAACAGCCGGGTACGCTGTTTCTGGCACACGACATCCGTCTTGAAAAATCAAATATTTCTTGCTGCTGACCACATAATTGCCCAAGTGACACAACCCGTTCCAACCCACGGCCAATGATTTTAATACCCGCCGGAGGCGGCAGAAAAGAAAAGAAAATTACTCTAGCGGAGAAAAACGATACATGTAGGTAAGTGGAGTATTAACTAGAGTGAGCACTGTTCAAGATGACAATGCTTTGGCTAGAATTAGAGCTAGAGCTAGCTAGAGCTAGAGCTAGAGCTAGAGCAAAGCGTATTGTATGTACCGTTCCGTTTGCAACTGGTCATAGCCATCCAGCAAGGCTGTCTCGCTTGCTTGCCAACGGGCTGTCAACTCAATTCACAATCCCTCCCTCCCTTTGACCAGCTGTGCAGATGTGCGTCATGCAAGGCATATCAACCTTAAACTTGCCTTGCCTTATAGTTGATCTCACCTATCGATTTCCCTTTTACCCAGTCCAGTTACCGGCGTGGGAATAGGGATAGGGAATAGGCATGGGCGGTCCGACGTCCAACAGCTTTTGCCAGATCCTTGAACGCTGCTACCGATAATGAAGCAACTTATTGGGGGGGGGGGGATCCAGTTTCTCCTCGGCATTCAGGCACAAAACGTTGTGTGGAGCTGAATGGCTGGTTAGGACGTGGGGTTGGTGTGCAAGTAAGATGTGCGGTGTAGGTACTCGCAGCACTCTCCCTATCTTGTATGTAGGGTGTAGATGCAATAATGTGGAGAAGGGGAGTATAATGATCGGTAGAAACTGGCTTGTGCAGGGTGCAACGCTGTACTTCTGGGCATAAGTAAAAAAGGGTCTCAGACATGCAAGTGGGCTTACTGGGCGCAACGTTGCAACGTATGAACACCTATCGGTACACTGTACTGGTACTACGTCTAGATAGGACTTACCTACTATCATACTAATCCGCCACATATTTACAAGTGGGTTTCTCCGAGTTTAATATCGATTTTCATAATTGAGATATTATTATTAGACCAGCCGTCCGTAGATAAATGTGGGGGATTAACATCACTGTGTTTGATGGCAGTGGCAGTGCAAGAAGTTGCCAAGAACTAGGCAGAGTAACTACTATGAGCCGAACATTTCTTTTTTCTCTAAATGCCACATCCCTTTTATTTCGATCGTGTCTATTACACATATTAACCGATTATTGCAGGTAGGAGATGACCATGGTGTTTATGTAGAGGTACGGTTGTTACGTATGGGATCGTTCGTGATCTTGCATGTAGCTCTAGTTTGTGGTAGGTATTGCGACCCGGATGTCATCCATACGTGCTTAGCTCTCCAAATTATCGGAACCAAGTACATCTCATGATTCCTCTTTCCGCTCTTGCGTTCTGCTCTACATCTCATCTAATCTCGGGACATTATTCCCCAAATCCGGTCTCAGTTCCATAGATCCATGGTTTCCCGATCAAAAGAAGTCGGAAGGCATTATTTATCAATATTACAGTATTGTGTGCGCGTAACTGGCCACAATAGGCACAGTACCTAGTAGTTCAGGCAGTTCTCAGAAGGCTGTTATCCGATGACTGACCCCGTCCCCGAAGCTTGAGCATAATCCCCTGGTTTATCGGCCCGAGGAACCGAAAATGCCAGAATAAGCGTTCCCTCTTTGCGCCACTTTGCCGCAACGCGGGGTTACATTTTTCCTTGAGCTGCCCACTGTTTGTGTTGACACGCACCCGAATCGAAACTCGAACGAGTTCGATAAATTGTATCCTCCAAACGGCACGCCCGATTTTGCCTGTACAAAAAAACAAAGACGAATAGCTCTTTTAACTGAATTCATTTATAAATCAGCGGCTCCTCCGAGATACTTGACTGCACACCTGGTAAATAAACAGCATCACCTTATCAACAGCTGCTTGGAATACTAGTCCCTCCCCCCCCCCCCCCCCCCCACTAGAGGATACCAACATATCATATCACACCCAGAATGGCGGAAATTGAAACCTATAAAATCTCGGAGGTAAGTAACCTGATGTTGCTCGTTTGCCCAGTTGCCTAAAGGAGCACACTCTAATGGGGGAAACTTGAGGGAATCTTGTTAGCCCTACCTCCACACCGAGTGTGCCCTGGGAGAAGGGCCGTACTACGAAGAGGCTACAGGAGAGCTACGCTTTGTCGATATTGTCAAGAAGGAGATCCACTCTGTCAATCTTGCTGAAGGACCAAACTCTCACAAGGTGACAAAATTGGAACATTCGGTCGGGTATGTGCGGGGATTAAATCGAACATTCTATAACTATATACCAGTTATTTAATGTGCCGAATGGATGAGATTCGCTGACGTTGTTAATGTGGGGTGTCTCCATAGTATAACCGCAGATATCGATGGGCACGAGGGAGAGTATATAGTTGCTGCCAAATTAGGGTTTGCAATCTTCAATAAGACGACCGGCCAACTGCGATATATCAAGAAGGTCTACGATGATCCCACAACCGCTGAGAGGTTCGCTTCCCAAAACCCCACGTAGCGAGATTGCTGTCACATTCATGGCCTAAATTTATTGACTGCTGACGCTATAGAATGAGGTTCGAATCTCCGGTCGTTTGACGTATAACGGTCTTTCTAAACTGGACGGAAACTTATTACACGTGAACAGGTTCAACGACGGAAATGTTGATTCAAAGGGCCGTTTCTGGGCAGGCACTATGTACGAGTGAGTAATGAGACAATCCCACTCGTGTTTCCGAATTTGACTGACTCCTCCGAACCTGCCGCGTAGTTTCCACTCTGGAGTACCACAACCAGAAGGTAGTCCGCGGTTCATCTCATTCCCTTATAATAACTGCCGAACGGCATGGTGATCGAGGCCAAATGATAGGATGTGTATTTCGCCTGGATCCCGATTTGACGTTACACCGAATGATTGAAAATGTTTGCATACCAAATGGCATGGGTTGTAAGATCACCTAATTATACACCAATATAAAGAGACACTAAAGTAATTGGCAGGGAGTCCTGACGATCAAACGTTCTATTTTACGGATTCGCCGTCGAAGAGTATAGTGGCTTATGACTTCGATCCTGAGAGTGGAAACATCTCGAACAAACGTACTTTCTTCACTCTGGACGATGGGGATGCCGTCCCAGATGGTTGCACCGTAGACTCTGAGGGTTACCTTTGGGTTGCGATTCATGAAGGTAGCCGCGTTATACGCGTTTCCCCAGAGGGAAAACAGGTTGCCGAGGTTAAAATGGATGCTTGGAAGATAACCTGCCCGATATTTGGGGGCCCCAACAATGACGAGCTTTTCATCACATCGGCTGGTGTAGGCTCCGATGACCCGAAGCCCGAAGGATGTAAGGACAATGGGGCTGTATTTCGGTTCAAGACATCCACGACAGGGCTGCCGTCAAACAAATTTGTTTTGTCCGCAAAGCCATAGATCAGTTGGAATTTCAAAATGGTATGCCCGGGATATATTTGTTTCCTAAGATTTTACGCTAGCAATGGTTTAGTGTGTTCGTAAATGAGATGTATCATACGAAATAGAAATACCTATGTAGACTCCAAAAACAACAAGTGTACCACGCAGGAGGGGAAGTGGGGAATTTATCATCTCGTGGATAAGAAGTTGAGTGGAGGTTGGTGGTTGATGGGGTCGTTGTCGCAACGAGTTGCTTCTTTAACGGGAGAGTCTATTATGCGCGTGCCAGCAACCTCCCATGGTCCAACGTCCAGTTTCCAACGACGGACCAATTGGTATTTAGTGTTACATATCGATTCCCGACAACACCACACTGCCGTTCGCTCGTTCGTCTTGATCGGGTTCTGTACGCCCAACACACTGATCCACTGATTCACCGCAAAAGGCAGCAGTTGGAGCGAAGCTCTCTCTGAGGGAGAGTTGCAGAAGCAGGAAGGAAGCAAGCTTGACGGTACGCAGCTCATTTCGGATAAAGGTTACTGAGCCCATTCTGATCTGCGTTGAAATTAGGCAAACCGATCTTTCCGTGGCTTCCAGAAACGGCTCTCCGGAACCTGTTGTCCTTCGTGACTTTCCAGAAGCGTGCGCACTCCCCACGGGAAATGCAGTGTCCGGGTTCTTTGTCTTTGTGGTTGGGAGCTTTGGTATCTTTTTCCCCTACATGCCTACATGCTACCTAGAGTAGAGTAGGTAGAGTACTCTGCATGCCTGCCTACATGCCTACTCGGGGCAGGTAACAAGAACCTGAACATAAAAACGCGCTAGCAGGGGTCAAAGTGGTTGCTACCAGAAAAACGATGTTCAGGTTCTTCATGCCTACCGCGAGTACAACCCTACAGATGATACACATACTCTTCTTCCTTCTCTAGTTACTCTTACTTACGCTATGACTGTTATGCAACTATGATGTTTTTTTTAGTGACCCACGACGAGACCGCACCCAGTCCAACGGATCGTCCGAGATACAGGCCTGTGGAAGAACTGAAAGTTTGGAACGCTTGCGAATTTCCCGTCTGGGTTTAGACGCATATTCTGTTTTCTTGTTTTTGGGGCTCGTGGGGGGTTGAGAGCGATTCCGTTTCTGGGAATGTTCAGAAGTTGAGTCGCTCAGACCTCTTAGGGGTGTGGTGGATTTTAATCTATCCGTGGTTTTGGTTTCCCGCCAGGGAGCAGGGGTTGAGTAAACCTATTACGATGACAGCGGGATCAATGGCCGGCCTGAGCAACCTAGTCGGAGATTTTCTCGGTTTCTCTCTAGGCCCTAGGAGGCATGTATGTACAACATGGTTATGTGTGTTGTGAGTTGTGGGCTGCGGGTGGTGGGTGGTGCTGCTGGTGTGCACATGTGGTTATGGTGGTTGTGGTGGTGCGTATGTAGAAGAGGAGGAGGAGAATGAAGAGGAGGTAGGTGAGCAGAAGGTATGTATGTATGTATCTCATCTGAGAAGAGATCTTATTTTCTGACAGAGGGGATCGGATACATCATACTGGCGACATCCATCGTACAAATGTAAGATAGGTAGGCGTGGGTTGTGGTTGGTGGTGACGGGTGATGGGTGATGATGGTGTGTGTATGATGAACTGGATGCGGACGAGAGATCATGATGCTGCTGCTACTACTACTGCTGCTGCTGTGTGGTTGTTTCTTCTGCATGCCGCAGGATAATAAGCGAGGGCCATATGGCCGTTCTAACCACTTAGCGGGCTCAAGCTGATATCATGTGAGCGAGTTTACATGCATGCAGGCAGACACTCGACAGCGGTAACTGTATTCTTTGCAGGTGACTGACTTCGCTGGACGAGGAGCAGACACGAGGCTTCTCCACACCAACCCAACGTCCCGGCAGAAACAACGGCAGCACCAACCACAATATAATCCAATGGCAGCAATAAAATAACAAAATACAATACAACGCCAGCCAGTACAAGTACCAGTACCCTAAGTGCGTGCACTACTCTACTCACCACTCCAACCACTAGAGTACTACATGTACCCATCGCACACCATCATCGTCATCTACTTACCATCGCTGCTCATGTTATCTTAATATAATCTCCAGCATCTCATCTAAACTTTGGAGGGAAGGGGAAACAAAACAAAAACAAAGCAAAACAAAAAATATAACCAGGCAGGATGCCAGTTGGTTCGCCCCTTCAAATCTCCCGAATGTAATTATTTCCCGGTATTATTTTCTTGCAAATTTCATTAGCCCGTAAAAAGAACCATATACGGCCCTAGCCCCCACCGCCCTATTGCCATGGTTAGCATCAATTGCATGGGGTTATGTTAGTGGTGCACCAGTACTACACCGCCGCATCCCACGATACTGGCTTTTGACCCGGGATGTATAGCGGGATGGTGCCTGCGGCTGCTTTCGCTTCATCTTAGTGCCCGGGATCCTGGACCCTCGGCCACACGAGTCAATTTGGCGTTCCTTAGGCCGATGGTCTGTGTGAATGGGCATCTCTGTTTGGTCGAGTTTCACAACTTTTGTTTTTGTGGGCGTTTCTTGGGTTAATTTTTCGGGTGGGCTCACTTTCGTTTTTCCCAAGCTTCCTAAACTTTGGTTGGCGGTTGTGCACCGTTCGCTTACCCTATATATTTCCTTCATTCTGTTGGATTAGATTTCCCCCCTGTACCCTGGGAGACGCCATAATTCGCCCACAGGGCTCTTGTACTCCGCTGCTTACCGGAGTACTCAATCGTCGGGACTATATTGATCTTCCAGCACGGTCACGCAATTCAATTTCAAATTTCCAGCCTAATCAAACGCCCTTCATCATGCTGCACCATAGGCGGAGAGGTTGTATCCATCATCATACACCATTATCTCATTATGTCCAACACCTTGTCTGCCTGCCTAGAAGGCACGCAACGCAGCATGTGGTATTGAGGTATGTAGGCTGCCGCTAATAGCTCCAACCAGTAAAGAGCGAACATGGCTGGGAAGGGCTAGCAAGGGAATGGGAGAGAAAAAAGGAAAGCACAGACAACGACGTAGTGATAGTTCGGCAGTTGACGAATTTTGGAAGTTGTTTTTTAGCCCACAGCGGCCAGAAGAACGATGATATTCCTAGGTCATATCTCTACTACTCTGGGGGGTTTCGCTCTCACAACTCCCTGTTGTTCCTACGTCTCACTAGGTAATAGTGAGTGCGGGGGGGGGGGGGGTGTATGAGTGATGGTGTGTGTGAATATGTGTGTGTGTGTGAGTGTGTGAGTGTGTGTGTGAGAAAACTGGGACCATCTTCGGGGACGGGCTGCACAAGGAGGGGGGAAGGAAGGGAAGGAAGGGAGGAAGAGAAGAGGAGGATGAGAAGCAGAGAAAGAAGATGGAGCACAAGGAAAGGGTATACAATTCGAGCTGTTGTCGCACAACTTTCTTTCCTTATTTTTATTTTTTGGAACGTACTCCATCACTGGCTGTACTGTTGCTTGGTATGCTAAGCTTGAGAAGTACATAACCACTATCATGTTCATGTGTACCAGACAGCCCTTGTAGGGACGCTCACGTCCTGTAGTTCCAGTTCAGTCCACTGTTGTTCATCCAATATCTCAATCTGGGGCCCCTGCGAGTTGCTGGCGCCCCGAGTTTTTCTCTGCGTGGCATCCCAACCACCCAAATCCCGATACTCATATACCAAGTACCCACTCCATACATATTATCCCATATGTACTAGTTAAATTCACACCCCTACCCCGGTACCTTACCCATAACGACAAAAGACGGTACTATCTCATTCCCCATACAACTCATACATACATACCCTACATATCCACATTCAGACATCCATTTCTCGATACCTTCCATCCAGCACCCGCAGAAGCACACCCAGTTAGAAGAAGGTGTGCACCAGCCAGCCAGCAGCAGCACCAGCCAGCAAACCGTCAGACCCCATCCGCGTCCTAGCGCCCTGGCGTTGGACTGTTCTGGAGAGTCAGTCAGTCGTTCAGCCAGACAGCACTCAGTTCAGTACCTACTCAGGCAGCTCTCCATACTTTGTCTATCTATTCCACTGCAGTCGGAGTCTACTACTGCCTTCCCTACCTTCTTCTTCTTTACCTGCCACAACAATCTAAGCAAGAACCAAGTCCACGTTTCTAGCTTCAGCCCGGCCCGTTTCCGCGCCATCTCACATCTGTGACCTGTGCAGCTTGTTTTTGGATGGGCCTCTGACGCCAGTGCTTTGCATGTTCTCCGCCATTTCGAGTTCGCTACCACCTCCTCAGTCTTAACCCTCACCCTCGCCCATCCACTTCCCCTCGTCCGTCCTTACACACACCCCCATCATCCTCGCCCACACTTCCTTCTTACTTCCTTCCCCTCCCTTCCATCCTCTATCATCCCTCCCACACATTGCTCCCCTCTTCCTCTTCCCCCGCCCACCCACCCACCCACCCACCACCACCAGCCTACCCACTCACCCCCGTCTTAAGAGTTGGTGGATTCCCATTTCATCGTCACACCTGAGCACCACCTGTGGATCGAACTATGCAGGATTGTTTGCCGTGCAGCAGGGGGATTTGTTAAACACGAATTGCTTGACCTAAAACCTATCATTATCACATCCATCAACCAACGAAACAGACTTATCAAAAGGAATCAGACGAAATAATAATAATAATCTCATATAAGGATTGAAAAAAAAAAAAGGGGAATTAGACGTCAAACCATCGTATAGATACATACAGAGCAAGGACTTGATTGCCTTTATCACACACGGAATCCCTACTGTTCGAGTACTACGAAGTCCGCCTGAGACTTCGGGTCAACTCTTATTCACCCGGAATACCCACAAGTCGGAACGTTGGCGTTGGTGGCTCCCTTCGTTCATCCCCCTCTTCTCTTACAGTCGCCGGACTTTCTTGTTGGGCGTCGGGAGGAAGGGGAAAACCGTCAATGTGCTGTCTTTAGGCAGTTTGCGAGTTCCCGGAGGAAAGACTCCATGTCGCGGACGTATTCGACTTCAAGGTCCTCGACTTCTTCGGACGACTCTGATAGGGATTATCGAGTACTGGATCATTACAATACTCAGGCACCAGACGGAACAATACCAGCAACCCTGGCTATCTCAACCTCCCAATATACATCGCAGGCCTCGGAGCCTTCGATAGCTTCGACAGTCACTAGTCCTGAGCAACGACCCTCTCGACTTTTGGATGTTAGCAACATCTTGAATCCTACGCCTCAAAGGTCAGCTCAACATTCCAGAGCAACAAGCCTTGCACATTTCGGATCTCCACGGGCATCTACGCCCACGATCCATCATGGAACGCAACGGTCTTTACCGCCATCTCCTATAGATTTATCCCATTCGGGAGATGCGTCCCGAGGGGGTAGTAGTTTTCCTCGCCGAATAGCACCCGGTCCACCGTCAGCACAACACAGACATTCCACACGGCATAGTCTATCTGGAATAATTAGTGCTCAAGAGAATCCTTTTCCTCTAGGGACTCCCCGAAGGCCTGCAGGGTATGCATCGGATGCCCACTCATCAGCTGCAGCCCCTCCCCCACCGCATTTGCCAGCACCGCCATCTGGCCATCAATCTCCCGCTTTCCCTTTCCCTAGCGTACCCACCTCCATGCAGTATGCCCCAAGTAGCTTTTCGACTCCTCTGTCTTCAGCAAGTGCCAGCCCAAATACGTCTTACTCAACTTACGTGCAATCTGCCCAATCACCGCTCCCTCCATCAACACCAACCTTCAACCACCCGGGATATTCGCTTGGCCACCCAAGCACTCCTATCAACAACCCATACCCCTTATCACTATCAACGCACGGACCCCATGGCGGGTATCCAATGATGTCCTTGAACACGGCTCATGGGGCCATCCAAATACCTATAGACACAACGGCGGCGTCAAAAAGCGCCGATGAGAAGCGTAAACGAAATGCTGGCGCTTCCGCAAGATTTCGTCAACGTAGAAAGGAACGTGAACGTGAAATGTCGACCAGAATCAGCGATTTGGAGCAGCGCGTCAAGAAAGTAGAGGAGGAACGAGACTACTATCGAGACCTGGCGTTGAGGTTGCAACGGGGTGGTGGACGACCACAACAGGGGCAACCACAATCCTTGTCACCATCGCGGATTGGAATGGCAATGGGACCCGGTGACAGCGGATTTGGCGGGTTCAGACCGAGCGAAATTTCGCGTCCAAGTTCCAGCATGCGGGATTTTGGGTCACCAATGACTGGTATTGAAGTGAGCGGTGACCATGGGCAAGGTAGCAGGAGTGGTCATCCAGGACATCCGGGAACACCGAGGATGAGACAACCAATGGACAGCGGCGCTGGCAGTGCATTGAAACGAGAGACTGAAATGTATGACCGGGAACATCGCGGGGCTGGGGGTAGTGATCAGCGACATCACTAGACACGGCATTATACACATTTCTTTTGTTATTTCCTATGTGTACCTGATTTTATCCGGCGCGGGGAGGTTATTCGTGGGTGGCTTTGTCGATTTTATTTCCTTTGCAGTCTTGTTAGAAGTGGGTCATTAACCGTGCGTTCTTGGAATTTTATTTTATTTTTTTGCATTTTGTTTGCCGTTCATCTCATTTTTTTTTTTTTTTTTTTTTGGTTGATTGTTTTATTTATTTTGTCTGTTGCATGCATCTTTTTTTACTTTGCGATTTTCCTTTTTTTACCATCATCCACTTTCATTCCATCCAATCTTTTAGCGGGGGGACAACTTTGTAAATTATCATGTTTCTACTTCTGCGGGAGGGGCGTTGGTTTTTCTAGAATACTTTATTCGTCTATTCTTATCCGTTCCTTTTTTACTCTCTTATATCCTATTTTTTAGTGTTTATTATTGGACTTGATCATGGAAATCGTTTCGTTTGTTAGCTTCTCTTGGAACATGACCTACTACCTATCACCACTATCACCACCCTACATCACATCATCACCTCATGCGTATGGTATCTCCCTGTAATAACCCAACTTGTATTTGTAGCCGTGATAAAAAGCTAATGGGCTGGGGGTGGATGGGGGGGAAACGCGCGTACAACATATGAGTATTTAGAGTTGAAAGGCGTTATTGCGCTATTGAGTTACCTTTACTTATTAGGACGCTCGTTCGTATGATCTGCTTCCTTCGCATGTGCATGTTCCTGGGAAGATCTAGAGTTGTACAATTAGTAAGGTTCCATGTCCGTCCCATGTTCCACATTGCACATTTGGTCCGTGGGTTTGTTGTGCAAGTAGGTGCAACTTAGAGTAGGTGCGTTAGGTGCAGTATTGATTATCTGATTAGTAGTGAATCTCTATTTCGGCTCTATCTATCTATCTACGAACACAAACACCAATCGGGCAACTGTAGTAGCAGTAGTACAAGGGGATATGAAAAAGGGCAAGTTAGGTACGACTAGCAGAATTAAGAAAAATTAAGAGAAGTGGCGGACCACGAACCTCCCACACCCCCCCCATCCCCCATCCCCCATCCCCCATTCCCCCCCGTCTCTACCCCAATTCGCCTCATGGCGATTTCTCCAGGGAAATGATAAAATCCCAGCAAGCTTTCGGGACAGGTGACACGCTCAGACGGCTCATCTTGAGCAGCGGCATCTCTGACAGCTCACCTTGGGTGTATGTCTTCAGCTCGGCAAGTCCAATCTGCCGCTCCAGTTTTCGCCTGAACTCCACGTGCACAAGAAACCACTTCGGGTTATCCCTTGACGACTTTGGATCGTAGTATGGCTCGGAGGGGTCGAAAGCAGTTTCTGAACGATCAGTTTCAAAAGTGGAGAGAGCTGAGATTCCCTGATGGAGCTTACCGTCTGGTGTGGCGGCTTTGACGATTTCCATTATTCCAACGATACCTGGTTCTTTACAATTGCTGTATTTTTTTTTTGCGGGATGATTCACGACGCATCAGATTTAAATGGCCTTTTCACGCTTTCATCCAATGGCGGAGTGGGATTGGAAGGAGGGGAGTGGCAGTGGAGTGGAGATGGGACCAACCTGTGGTAGAAGAACGCCAAATCCCCCTGTTCCATTGCCTTCAGGTTGTTCCTCGCGCTGTAGTTCCTCACTGAATGACACAGAGTTAGAATGATGACAATCATCGGCCGTTTATTATTTTATTTTATTTTTTGTCTTTTCGAGGCTGGACGAATCAATGGAAGCTTTGCTTACCCCCATCCCAGCCTGCAGGTCCTTTGCAAGCTTTCAAGTCGTCGATCGAGAACTTCATGTCTTTGCCCTTTTCCATTCTGGTCTCCGGCTCCGCTTTCATAAGCCAATAGGAAGGGCCCCCATCAAAGTCCTCTTCTGTTTCGCGTTGGGAAGTATTTCCTTTCGTTTCCGGCTGCGGCCCCTTTTTGGGCGCATTTTTCGTTGCTGTGGTGTTTACCTTCTTTTCCTTTTTTGAGTCCAAAGGTGGCCTGCCTTGTGATCTGAGAGCTCGTTTTGGCAACGGCTCTTCGGATACGGTTTCTGCGATTCGGGTACGTTTGGACGGCATGAATGCTGGTGAGAGTGGTATGTCAAGGTGTTGTTGGATAGGTGGAAAAAGGGCAAGTAAGCTGTTGAGCTTTTGTTTGATTAGACGTTCAGGGCAACAGTCTCGTGACTTGACAACAAGGTGCGTGTCTTGGCGTTGTGTATGTATGGCATTATTCGCGCTTATGTCGATCCTTTGCACGACGGGATGATGATGGTTGATGCGTCCATACCTCCTTGCCAGCAGTAGCAACATTAATGGTGATAATGATAATGGTATTGCTTTTTTTGTCTTTGATGGTGGAATGCGATGCGAGAGGATCAGAATCATACAATTCGGGCTATGTTGCAGTTGGGGTCACGTCTCTTGATTGCGGTGGTGGCTTGCGGGGCTTTTTTTGGGCGGAATTCCGAGGGTCTGGTTCGGTGAAACTTTAATCCAACCTCTGGGAGCGGCTCTTTTCTGTGCCGCTGATTCGTTAATCTCAACGACGACGACCCTGCAACCGCGATATGAGTTCTTGAAACTACGTACGTGTGGGTATTTTTTTTTCATGCGCGCGTTTAGGTAAACAGAGTGGGGAGTACTCTACGTGGGGTAACTCCATGTACGGCACGCGAGTGCGGCAGTGGCAGCTTCTACCGAGCTTTCTCGCATCAAGTGGAGCGATGGGGTGCATACAGTGGGAGTAGGTATCCGATCCCGTGTCTGCTGCCATCTCATCTTTTATGTTTTATTTTTATATATTCCATTATTTTTTTATTTTTTTTGTTTCTGCTTTGATCAACGCATTTGTGGTTTCTGTGCTCCCGACGGCGGCAGAAGTGCGTATTGTCACGACGTATGGTCTGCGTTGCCCGGGGTTCTCCGGAAACGTTATTGCTGGTCGTGATTCAAATCGCGGGTTCACATCTCTTAACGCGCATCTCGAGATTACCCGGTTTGACAGGCAGGGTAGCTAGGGTAGGGTTGTATGAATGGATGGGCCTGTCTGTTACCCATCGAGCGGGTAATCATGCGGTGAGTGATAAGCTGTGAGCCGTGACACTAACTACATCCATGTGCAGCCCTCCCTGGTCGCCCTGCACCAGAAGCAGAAGGGAAACAATCCCAGATACTACAAGCCTGCCCATGAGCCAAGAATCAAGAGGGGAGAGAGAGGGAATTCACACATCCCATCCATGGGAGGGCGTTGGTACTGGTTATGTGTAACGTAGGGGGGTGCCCTGCTGCCCTATGTACCGACAACAACGAGACTTTGCTGATTGTTAATTCGTGCATGGCTACGTGTATCACACGTGCACAGAAGTTGAGGTAAATATTGACCGATTGCATGATGCTGTGACCGGCACTCTACAGATGCCGCTGTCTGTACTCTATCACTGACGAATCCGATCCCCATACTATGTACATGTATATACATGTATCTTGGTGTAACTTGTGTTTGGCCTTGGGGCATTGTAACCGCAGCCAAGGGTACATGTACATACATGTACATATTGGAGCAGCAGGTGCAACCTAGATCTTGAAGACTACATAACTGCATTTGGTAATTAATATGGTCAAAAGAGCGATTAGAGGATTTATTTACCTCAATTGGCCCAGGGATCATCTAGAGGACATTGAGATAATGTCTATCGAATTCAATAAAGACGAGAGAATTAAGCGGCGGGATAGAAATTAAAGCTAAAGAGGGTTAAGAGATGGCGGGGAGATTTGAGCGCGAGATGTTTATGCGTGCTGGGTCGACATCATTAAAGTTGTGTTCTTAGCACGTTCTCAACTACAACCATGTGACTCATTAAACCCCGATTCGTACAGTGGATGGTCAATTAAACCCTCCCTCCGAAGACATCTATGCTGGGATTGAATGCCTTGATCTTTCTATGAACAGATCTAGATAGCCTAGGAGTTAATTGATGCATTTATTCGTTCGTTCATCGCCGCCCCCACAATTAATTACTACCACAATAATATATAGGTATACAGATCTGTTCGTATAGTAGGCGTTTATGAATGGACTACAGCACATATATACAGTTATCATTCAAGAAGATCAATGTTATCTGAGACTTTAGCATCTTCCTGGATTACGTCTGGGCGGATCAAAAATGACGTAAATGACAGTATATTTCATCGCGACCCGTAACATGAATATCGAATAACAAACCAAAGAAATTAAAAAAGAGACAGTTGGCGACTAGACTCCAAGAGAAGACAGGCAGGAAGAAAGAACAAAGGAAGGAAGGAAGCACTGGATAAAACATCATACCCTCAACTTTCCCACACACCGTTAATCAAAAAGTCACATCTCTCGTTATTCCATGGGTCGGCCGATAAAATTTCAACCTTCTCATCAGTGATCATCAAAGAACTCTCCTCTGTACCATACTTCGTAAAACAAGGAAGTGTGTCCGCACAACCAGGGTCTCCCTTTACCGTATAGTCAGTCAGGTACTCCTGATGCACCTTAGCAGCCCACGCGCTGATTGGCGGTGCACCGATTGGCAGTGCTCCCACATCAAAACCTGGGTTGTAAAAGTTATAAAACACATCGTCTCCGTGCCAGGCTCGAGATACATTGAAGACATAGCGGTACGTATCATCACCAAAGGCCTTCGCCAAGGCGACGACATTGCAATTAATGAGGACATCCTGCACTAGGTCCGCTACTCTTTTGTATTCTTCGGCTTCATTACTGCCTTTTGGATAGAGCTCCTCGAGTCTGGCAAGAGAGGACGCTGAGATATTTGCGATGTTGCCTTGAGCGAAGCCGCTAAAGGTTTCGGAAGTTATATTGCCAATTGCTAATAGGAACAGGCCGCTCTGTAGCCACTTGTCAGTATTTCAAACTAAACTTACAAAGAGTTGAGTAATTGACCAACCTCATACCAGGTATTCGACGCAATGATACTGTCGATGTGGTGAAATTTTCCTTGGGACAACAATATGATAGCTAGGTCCGGGATATAATCCCCATCTGCTACAGGTGTAGGTACCATAAGACCAGATTTAAGGACCACATCATTAGCTGCGGTCAGAGTCTCAGTGGACGCCGCTCTCAGGCATTCAAGGCTAGTGCAGTTATTGGCAGCTTTCTGGAAATTCCGGTAGTCACTGCTTCGTTTCTCGAAAGAATTCCTATCTGATAGCAGACCCGGAGATTGCAGAATTGCCTTTTATCTTCAGATCAGCTACTTTCAACCCACGGAGGTATTTCCCGAATACTCGGGAGGACAACAGTATGGATAATAGGGCGTACCTGTTTAAACGGCGGCGGTGAATGCGTACCACCGTACGCAACGATCGAGTGCATGATTACTCCACCGCCCGCACTTTCCCCGAATACAGTGACTCTCTCTGGGTCACCGCCAAATTTGGAGATATGATCATTGACCCAGTCCATAGCTGCGCGGACATCATGGAGCCCAACATTCACGTCAATATCCTGATTTGCATCTGCAAGCCATCCAAAAGCGCCAAGCCTATAATAATTAGCTTTATAACGTCTAGAAAGGGCATTACACTCACCTATAGTTCGACGCAACATAAATCATTGGCTCATCCGCGGCTTGGATCAAACCCGCTGGGTCACCCCACATTTCCTTACTACCGAACATATACCCACCCCCATAGAACCATTGAAGCACTGGCGCTTTATCCGTCGCTTTGAGCGAAGCAGGTACATACACGTCCAGATACAAGCAGTCTTCAGTTCCAATTATATAGGATTCCCCACCAAATATACCTGAACCTTCTCCGGGCATTCCCGGAAGGGTCTGCACACATTCTGTCCCAGTAATGTTGCCATCCTGGATCTTCCCCTCGTAGACTGGTGGGGTAGGTTTGCGGAAACGGAGATCACCGAGAGGCGGGGCGGCGAAGCGGATGTTCTTGAAGACATAGTAGTCGTTGGTGGAGTTGTAGACGGTGGCTCGTTGTTGGACGTAGCCAAGGTCAATGACTGGAAGCTCGGAAGTTGGAGCGCAGGATATGATGGTGGCATAGAGAGAGAGGAGGGGGAGAAGTATTTTCAAGGCCATGTTGAGCGGTTCGAAGGCTCTGTGCTCTGGTTTTGGAAGCTTTGAAAACCGAACTATTCTTGATCCAAGTAATATATGTTTGATACTGATGCCGTAGCTGGCTCTACTGTTGTAACCGTACTGATCAAAACTGCTAATCACTCTCGGAGGTGAAATAGCAATATTTATATTTTCTAATGCTATTTCCGGCTCATCTTATTTCCGGGCTCGATGAGTTACAGGAATACGACCTTGAGTGCGCCGGCTCGTATTCAAGATTCTTGATATCAAGATCTGCCGTTTGCCTTGCAGCAACCATGTAACAGTCATAAGCTTTCGACCAATTACATTTCGATTACTTACCTACTATTGACGTTCACGATCAATTATTCATCTAGAATATAGAAAAGTGGGCTTTAGACTGTATTCAGCCTTGAAGCCATCTGTGATCACTGCAGATTCGATCAGTTGAATTAATTGGTTATCTAATCAGAGCGGTACATGTATGCTATTCTATAAATACATGTACTTATCATCCGGAATAATTGATACACAATAGGCGCTCTCTATCTAGGTCTCGAGATCTGGCTCTTCAGCCCTGAAAATTTCTTTTTGCCCTTGACTGAGTGCAGTAACCATACATACAGCAGCACGTGCAATTATGGGTCTTGTTTTCGCACTTTGTGGGAAAAGCCCTCACTAGCTCGGGTTTCACGACACTGCCCACTTGTAAGGCGTAATGACAATACGAGATGTAATTAGTCATGCAAGTGCTACGGGCGCCAAGACCGAGCTTTGGTCGATCATGATCATACAAGTAGTTACTGTAGAAGGTACTGGGTCGGTAATCCATTACGCGTATTGTATTATGTTTAACTTAGGTTTTTTATAGTCTATCTGGGTTTGGGGCATCTAGGGGACGCCTTGGTGAATGATGAATGGATTGTGGCCGATCATATAGCGGGTTGTTTGAATCGAGTGATGATTGATGATTGAGGT